CTGAACTCCAGTTGATAAAAATCAAATTTATTTTCATCATCTCTGATGAAAACAAAATCACACAAATCTGTTTTATTTTTGTCACATATTCAATAAAAATAAATACTCAGACTCTCAGTGCAAAAAACTAAGTTCTTTAGTTATTTTCTCACAGTGCAAACACACGAAGAAGAAGTCGGACCTGCAGTAGAGYCTGAGCCTGAACCTGGTCCCGGGGACACGAGCGAGTAAACAACGACCTGATTGTCATGTGACCGGAGCCACAAACAACACCAGCCTGAGCCTCGGAGACGGCTTCTTCCTGATAATTCGATTTATTCTCAGCTGCAGACGCCTCAGGTGACTCTCCAACACTATGTGAGCGGCACAGAGTTTAAAGGTTTGCATCGAGTCAGAAATCAATAAAAATATCTGTGAAGCAGCCTCAGAGCTGCAGATCTGCTTTCTGAAGAAGAATCTGTACTTTTTCTAATTCCTCAGATTCCTCTAAGGTCTACAGTCATTTCCCTCCATCAGCCGTGGTGTCAGTGTTCTTTCTCTGGTTCTGTTCACTGGTGTCTCTYAGAGGCCTGCAGAGCTTCTGAGGAGAACAATTTCAGACGAGTCAAATGTGAGCGTCCTTCTCATCATGCTCAGTAACTTCCTGCTTTCCTCTCAAATGCTTTCAGAACCAAATGGATTTATCAGACCGGTCCTGATTGTCCTCTGACCTGCAGACACTCATCACCTGTGTCAAACTAGAGCTGAGTTTGGCTTTCAAACTGGAGTCAAACTAGAGTCAAACTAGAGTCAAACTAGATTCAAATTAGAGTCAAACTGAAATCCAATTAAAATCTAGTTTCAAAGTGGAGTTAAACTAAAGTAAAATTGCAGTCAAACTGGAGTCAAATTAGAGTCAAAGTAGATTCAAACAGGTGTCAAACTAGAGTCAAACAGGAGTCAAACTAGAGTCAAACTGGTGTCAAACGAGTCAAACTAGAGTCAAACAGGAGTCAAACGAGTCAAACAGGAGTCAAACGAGTCAAACGAGTTAAACTAGAGTCAAACAGGAGTCAAACAGGTGTCAAACGAGTCAAACTGGAGTCAAATGAGTCAAACAGGAGTCAAACGAGTCAAACTGGAGTCAAACGAGTTAAACTAGAGTCATACAGGAGTCAAACTAGACTCAAACAGGAGTCAAACTAGAGTCAAACCAGAGTAAAACGGGAGTCAAGCTAGAGTCAAACTGAAGTSAAACGGGAGTCAAACTAAAGTCAAACTGAAGTCAAACTAGAGTCAAACGAGTCAAAATAGAGTCAAACCAGAGTAAAACGGGAGTCAAGCTAGAGTCAAACAGGAGTCAAACTGGTGTCAAACGAGTCAAACTAGAGTCAAACGGGAGTCAAACGAGTCAAACTGGAGTCAAACGAGTCAAACGGGAGTCAAACTAAAGTCAACTAGAGTAAAACGAGTCAAACGGGAGTCAAACTAGTGTCAAACTAGATTAAAATGAGAGTCAAACTAAAGTCAAACTGGAGTGGAACTGTAGTCAAACTAGAGACGAGTCAAACTAGAGTCAAACTAGAGTCAAACTAGAGTGAAACTGGAGTCAAACTAGAGACGGGTCTAGCTAGAGTCAAATTAGTGTCAAACCAGTCAAACTAGAGTCAAACGGGAGTCAAACTAAAGTCAAACTGGAGTCAAACTAAAGTCAAACTAGAGTCAAACCAGAGTTAAACGGGAGTCAAGCTAGAGTCAAACTGGAGACAAACGGGAGTCAAACTAGAGTCAAACTAGAGTCAAACTGGAGTCAAACTAAAGTCAAACTGGAGTCAAACTGGAGTAAAACTAGAGTCAAACGAGTAAAACCAGAGTCAAACGGGAGTCAAACTAGTGTCAAACTAGAGTAAAACGAGAGTCAAACTAAAGTCAAACTGGAGTGAAACTGCAGTTAAACTAGAGACGAGTMAAACTAGAGTCAAACTAGAGTCAAATTAGAGTGAAACTGGAGTCAAACTAGAGACGGGTCAAACTAGAGTAAAAATAGGGTCAAATTAGAGTCAAACTAAAGTCAAACTGGAGTCAAACTGGAGTCAAACGGGAGTCAAACTAAAGTCAAACTAAAGTCAAACTGGAGTCAAACTGGAGTCAAACGGGAGTCAAACTAAAGTCAACCTGGAGTCAAACGGGAGTCAAACTAGAGTCAGAATTCTCAACGTGAAACCAGATTTATTTTTCAAACTGGAGAGAAAAGTAAATTTCTGAGGCTGAAGGTCAAAACAAACCATAAAACATTCTGCCAAAATATTTCAATTTAAAATATTTTTATCTTCATAGTATTTTTAAAATATAAAACATTCACATTCCGACTACACTGTACGCAGACGATCGTGGTCTTTTCTGTAAATATAAAAACACATCTGAGCATCATGTTTGTTCTTTTTCACACAGAGGAGTTTATAGTTTCTGCTGCACGACTGAGACTAAAAATAACACCTGACTCTTTTACAGATCCAAAGGAAAGAAAAGATGACAGAAATCTCTGCTACACCTGATAAAAAGACCTGTTTGTATTTTCTGGTCTGATGACAGAATGAGAACATTTGGACTTTACACTTTTAGACAAGTCTGCTGCCAGAAGGAGCGTCTGAAGACTCAGACCCACTGTTCTGGTTCAGGTTGGAACCAGGATCTGGACCTGTCACTGATACACAAAGACATACAGACACGGCGCTGATGAGAAAAACCTGGTTCTGGGTTTCCAGAAAGATTTTTAGTGAAGATGATTAAARAAAAGCACAAGGTGACGTCATGATAAATCTCTGTTCCGCTTCCTGCTGCCGCTCAGATGGCCGTGTCCCAGAACACCGTGGCGTGTCCGGAGGTGGTGGGCGGGGCCGAATATGGAGGCGGCTGCTTCCTCTTCCAGCTGGGGAGGTTGGGCATGCTGTCCTGTTTGCACAGGTTCTTCTCTGGCCGCTGACGAGCTTTGATCTCTCGACACAGAACTCTTTTCTTCTCAATCATCTCCATCATGGTGGCATCACCACAGAGCCAGGGCATCTGGTGATGAAGAACAACTCATCATCAACACATCACTCCTGCACCCAACCCCGAGCTCCAGTGTGGAAATCTGACTTCATCTCTGTTAATCTGACTGCTTTAGATTAACTGAGTAGATTATTTAAACTTGATCTAATCTAGGTAATCTTTACTCTAAATTCATTTAACTGAAAAAGATAAATGAGTTAATCACTGAYATTTTGTCTGGACTGGTAGAATTTAAAATTTGTGACCAAGTTATTTAGTGTCAATCTACTCTGTTCATTTGTTTGACTTAATCTAATATATATATATATATATAATTTAATTGATCTGACTGACATCCAACCTTACATTAAGAGCTCTAAACACAAATCATTATGCTCTTAATAAATGCATAATAAAGAAAGCAACATGAGACAAAACAGAAACAAGAAACCAGGACAGAGGACAACATTCACCATTTATTTTTAAAAGTTTGTCACAGAAATGCCTTCAAAGGCCAGGTATTTGCTGATGGGTGGAGCTAGACTATCACAGGGCAGGTCAATGACGATGGGGTGGAGCTAGACGATCACAGGCCAGATAAATGATGATGAAGCAGAGCTAGATGATAAGGCCAGGTAAACGCATATGGTATGTAGTTACATGATCACAGGCAGGTAAATGTCAATGATGTTGAAGGTAAATGTTGCCAGGTGCAGTTATTTTATGATACATGAGTTGGCACAGCTCCAGTCCAGTCAAACAGACTCTGGTTTGAACTATTTCTGTAAAGATCTAACCCAGCTACACACAAAGGCAGGGGAGTCAGGGTTGGGTTGATAAATCAGTAAAAATGCATTAAAAGTATTAATTATTGGTTAAGTTTACTTTCCTCTATATTGCAGGTGTTAACTGGAAGTTTCTGGTTAATTTCTGCTTTCTACTGCTTAAGGAAACAACATCTGCAGATGTCAAACTCTGGCATTCACTCAGTCAGAGTGTATCTAATTGGGACAGAGTCCAAATAAAGGCTGAGTCAGAGTGTATCCAAATAAAGGCATAGTCAAGAGTGTATCTAAATAAAGGCGGAATCAGAATGTATCCAAAGGCCGAGTCAGTGTGTACCCAAATGAAGGCGGAGTCAGAGTGTATCCAACTGGGACAGAGTCAGTGTGTACCCAAATGAAGGCGGAGTCAGAGTGTATCCAACTGGGAGACGGTCAGTGTGTACCCAAATGAAGGCGGAGTCAGAGTGTATCCAACTGGGACAGAGTCAGAGTGTACCCACATAAAGGCGGAGTCAGAGTGTGTCCAACTGGGAGACAGTCAGAGTGTACCCAAATAAAAGGCAGAGTTAGAGTGTATCCAACTGGGAAAGAGTCACACTGTGCCTACATAAAGGTGGAGTCAGAGTGTATCCAACTGGGACAGAGTCAGAGTGTACCCAAATAAAGGCAGAGTCAGAGTGTACCCAAATGAAGGCGGAGTCAGAGTGTAACCAACTGGGACAGAGTCATAGTGTACCTACATAAAGGCGGAGTCAGAGTGTATCCAACTGGGACAGGGTCAGAGTGTACCCAAATAAAGGCGGAGTCAGAGTGTATCCAAATAAAGGCGGAGTCAGAGTGTAACCAACTGGGACAGAGTCAGAGTGTATCCAAACAGTGCTGAGTCAGAGTTTATCAAACTATGACAGGGTCAGAGTTTAGCCAAATGGGTGGAGTCTGTGTTTTATAACAGGGTGGAGTCAGAGCATTTTTAAACRGGTGGAGTTAGGGAAATTCAGTCTATTTTTTTTAGGTTTTAATGGTAACAGGTGATGAGTTTTAAGAGGTTAGTTTTGTTTGAAGTGTTTCAGCGAATTCTGTGTTAGTTTACATAATGTTAGTTTAATGTTAATATTAGCAGTAACTCTCATTGATGAATATTAGACTCTATATTAAAGGAATATTTGAAACAGTGATTGTTCAGTTGCAGGCTGTTAGTGATCAAAGTTTACACAGAAAATACAAAAGTCTGAAAACTACAGTCAGCTGATGCTCTGAAGATTCTGTTTTATGTTGTTCTGCAAAGTTCAGTCCTGTGTGAACATTACAAACAGAAATAGTCAGGACAGGTGACAGACAGCCACAGACAGACAGGTAAACAAGTGCTTTACAGGTGTGGTACCTGGCTGAGGGCGGGATGATGGGACTCCTGCAGGTGACGCAGTGGTGTCCCACCTGGTGATGGAACTCCTGACGTTGAAGCAGATCGACCCAGTTTACACACAGATTTTGTTTCTACAGAAACAGTTTCACACAAATGATCTGACTGAGATACTGAAGTATTACCTTAAATTCATCTGAACAGTATTTATACAGATTTATGTGAAGCAACAGTGTCTGGTCTAGTGGCTTGCAGATGAGACTGTGATCCGTGGTGAAAACAGGGAACCGGTGGAATAGAACTTGGAGAGGTGATGGTATGCACTCAAAAGAAGAAGACTGAAAGTCACTTGTAGTTAGGTGGGTAGATATATGGATGGATGGATGGATGGATGCATGCATGGATGGATGGATAGATGGATAGATGTGTATGTAGATGGATGGATGGATGGATGGATGGATGGATGGATGGATGGATGGATGGATAGATGTGTATGTAGATGGATGGATGGATGGATGGATGGATGGATGGATGGATGGATGGATGGATGAATGGATGGATGGATGTGTACGTAGATGAATGGATGGATGGATGGATAGATGTGTATGTAGATGGATGGATGGATGGATGGATGGATAGATGTGTATGTAGATGGATGGATGGATGGATGGATAGATGGATGGATGGATGGATGGATGGATGGATGGATGTGTACGTAGATGAATGGATGGATGGATGGATGGATAGATGGGTGGATGGATGCGTGGATGGATGGATGCGTGGATGGATGGATGGATGGATGGATAGATGGATGGATGGATGGATGGATGTATAGATAAATACTGTATG